ATTACTTTTATTTTTTGTTATATATTAGTCGTTCATATTTTGGGGGAACACGTGATATTTTGATACCTGTATACAGTGTGTAATGATCAAATCAGGGCCGCTAGGGGGTCCTTCTTTGTGTGGCAACATTAACAAATCTCCTCTTCTTGCTATTCTGAAAAAATAGAGGATACATTACTGTTAACTGTAATTTCCCTGCTGTGATACTAGAAGTTACTAGAACTTACTAGAACTTACTAGAACTTACTCCTCCTACCTAACCACTCAGTCCTCTACGCTGCTGAGAACCGGGGGGCCTTTGTGAGCACAGATCGGGGGGACTTAGAGTTTTTGTGCTGGGACGATGGATGCAGTATCAGGTCCCCCCCCCAGCTCCTCAAAGCTGTCGTCGGAGACACACAAGCACACGCAGGGCCACGAGGAGGAGCCGGGGGCCCAGATGGCTCTGGAGGAGGTTGGGACCAAGATAAGGGAGATGTGGGGGTCACGGGAGGAAAAAGCCCATTGCCAGTGGCCCCAGGGCCTTTGCAAAGGCAGTTGCTACTGCCACGCATAGGATGGAGAATGACTGGCACAAGTGACTTTGGCGCCCTGAGCCTCAGTTTTCTCAACTGTGAAATGGGAGCGACAGGAAGCCATCCCGGCGCGGGACCTGTGCGGGGCAGACACCTTCATCGGATCCTGGCTCGGACCCTCCCTGTCCCCCAGACCACAGCCCCAGGGGCCACCCAGGGAGAAGGAGCGGCTTCCAGCCAGCCAGCTGCTGGGAAATCAGGAGAACTCACAGCCCCGAGGGAGCTGCAAGGAGCCGTCCTTTCTCTCCTCTTCCCTTTTAATAGCTAACTGTCTGGCTTTGTTTCTGCTCCCCCCGCTTGCAGGAATGTTATGAATGGAATGCGCGAGTTGCTGCTTGTGTGCTCCCGCCAGGGCCAGGAATGCAGCCCGGCGACCTCCCCACCCCTGCAGCTCTCCCGGGAAACTCAGACGTCAGGCATTCGGGTGAGGCCGCACGACGCACCCCGGGCCGCCGGTACACCTGGGCGTGGGGTCTTCCCAGCTGGTGCACACGCATGAACAGAAACATGTGCACACACAGGCGTACACACGGACCATGGTCTTCACAGACAGATGGACGCAGGAGGGGATATTTGCACACAGAGACACGCGCCCACACGCCAAGTGTTTGCAGATTGCAAACCCCTCTCCCCGCATGTAACTCCAGTGGTGTACACACACGCAACACGCAGCAGGCTGTGTTCCCACGTCAAAGGGACACGAACATGCATGTCATGGCGCACACGGACAGACACGCATCGTGGGGTCTGCACAGACAAGAGACCCCCCACACACACACACAGAGCTCCCATCTCCTCAGTGGACAGGTGGCCCACGGAGGGGCCTATAGTCCCGGACGACCGAATGCCAGCCCCTGGCCTCCCAGCCTGGCCTCGCAGGACCGAGCCTCCCGCGTCAGCCTCCCGCTGATGGGCTGGGAATAGCCGCGGAGCTGCGATGCCGAGGGGTGTCTCTGGGGCTTGTGCTAACTCAGGTCCTTTTTGTGTTTGTGTCAAACTGTGACGTGAGGGCTGAGGAACTGCCGGCCGTTACCCGGAGAGCTAGAGTGTCAGCAAGATCCCCGAGTCAGCTCGAGCTGGCCCCGGCCTCCTCGGCCCCACTCCCGGCCGCAGATGGCCGCCAGCTATCCCCGTGTGTGTGTGTGTGCGTGCGCCCGCTCCAGCACCTGCCTCTGGTCGCTGCGTCCTCCCACGGGACATGGGGTAAACGTGACATGGGAACCGGGGCATCCTGCCTACCCCTTCATTCATTCACCGATTCCGGAACTGCCGGCTGCGTGCCCACGTCGTGCCCGTCACCGCAACAGCCGCGGGTCCGTACACGGGTACACGGGTCCGTCAGGGTACCGTGGCCCCTGTCCCCGGCACCCTACAACTTCCAGCTCACAGATAACGTTTCGTTCGGCTTTGCTATGATTTTAGAACTTTTAAAATCATTAAAAAAAAATTACTTCGATGATAGGAAAATGAATACTGAACATTAATTAAAATTAAATAACACTATTCACATATTAAAATAAGATGATCAAAATGCAGATTTTGGCGGGGCGCGGTGGCTCACGCCTGTTATCCTAGCACTCTGGGAGGCCGAGGCGGGCAGATTGTTTGAGCTCAGGAGTTTGAGACCAGCCTGGGCAACATAGCGAGATCCCGTCTCCACTAAAATTAGAAAGAAATTAATTGGACAACTAAAAATATTTAGAAAAAAAAGGGCATGGTGGCGCATGCCTGTAGTCCCAGCTACTCGGGAGGCTGAGGCAGGAGGATCGCTTGAGCCCAGGAGTTGGAGATTGCTGTGAGCGAGGCTGACGCCACGGAACTCTAGCCCGGGTGACAGAGCGAGACTCTGTCTCAAAAAAAAAAAAAAAAATAGAAATGGAGGCCAGGATGGAAGGATCACTGGAGGCTAGGACTTCAAGATCAGCCTGGGCAACATAGTGAGACCCCACCTCTACGGAAAATGAGAAAAATTAGCCGGGCACAGTGGCGCCTGCCTGTAGTCCCAGCTACTCGGGAGGCTGAGGCAGGAGGATCGCTTGAGCCCAGGAGTTGGAGGTTGCTGTGAGCGAGGCTGACACCACGGCACTCTAGCCTGGGCAACACAGTGAGACTCTGTCTCAAAAAAAAAAAAAGACAAGTTACAGCTGCTCTCTTCTGGGAAGCAGGGGGTCCTTGGGTCTCGCTCGAGAGCAGAGAGGACACTGGTGCATCATGGCCTCATGGAATCCGGCCCTTCCCCACCTGCCTCCTGCTCCAAAACCGGCCTCCACGCCGCGGAGCGCTCCAGGTTACAAAGTGCGGCTCTCACCACTCTCTCATCTTCTGAACAAAAGGTGTTACTATCTCCATTTTCAGAGAGGCAGGAACCCAGTCCCGGAAGATGGCCTGCCAAGGTCAGATGATGGATTTATTGAAGCTGCCTGGAGGAAGATGCCCTACGCACCAGACCCAAACCTTGCTGGGCCGGCCTCCATTCATCTCTCTTTGGAGGCAGCTCACGCTGGCAGCTGCTCCGGGGAGAACCCCCAGGTTCTCTGGCTCCTGCCCGGGGAGGACACATTTGACCGTGACAGGTCCCTGCCTTCCACGAGAATCTTGGGGCCTCCAGCCTGGGATGGGCGGAGACCCAATTGGGGGGGTCCCGCTTTCTAGGGAGAGCTGTTCCTTTCTCCCGATACCCAGGCTCTGGGTCCTCACCCCCAGGCCTCCCCTCGAAGGAGAGGCTGCCTGCAAGAGGTGGCTTGTCCCCACGTCTTTGGCTCTCCGTGGTTCCTTTCCCTCCCCTAATCTCATGAGCTGTCCCCAGAGCTGCCACCTCCTGCCCTCCTCTTCCCAAAGATGCTGCGCAGACGGCGTCAGCCCCGAGTCAGAGACACACACACCCTCGGTGGATTCTCGTTCTCTTTGACCCCAAAGCAGGGGCCGGGATGGGCACGGCGGTGTCAGGACTCAAGCCAACCCCTTCTAGCTGCGCAGAGACGAAGAAAACGTGATCCGGCAGAATTCCTCCTGAGACGGCATTTGTCTCGGTTTGGAACAAATAACCCTCTTGGGGCTGGGGCGTCTCTGGGGCTCCCCCCAAGTCACAGAAATCGATTTATAAGGACATGCCGGGAGGGAAGGGAAGTTCCGGGAAGCTCCTCCTTCTGAGGAGGAGAAGGACAGGAGATCAAGCTGCCTGTCACCGTGGCCACACCCTGAAGGGAATTCTGACGCCTGTTTGCTGTGTGACTTTGCATAATTTCCATGCCCTCTCTGAACCTCCGTCTCTTCATCTGTAAAATGAGGAGTGCATCGTTTTGTTTTGTTTTTTTTTTTTTGAGACAGAGTCTCACCGTGTTGCCCGGGCTAGAGTGCCGTGGCGTCAGCCTCGCTCACAGCAACCTCCAACTCCTGGGCTCAGGCGATCCTCCTGCCTCAGCCTCCCAAGTAGCCGGGACTACAGGCATGCACCACCGTGCCCGGCTAATTTTTTCTGTATATATATTTTTTAGTTGTCCAATTAATTTCTTTCTAATTTTAGTAGAGAGGAGTCCATTGTTCATAGTTTCCTAGTGCTGTAGTAACAGCCACAAACCTGGTGGCTTCTCAAACAACACACGTTTATTCTCTCATAGTTCTGTGGGTCGGATGTCTGCAGTTGTTCATTTCTGGGGGGCTCCAGATCCTTGTCCTTCTCAGCTTCTAGAAGCCCCCTGCATTCTCTGGCCCCCAGCCCCTTCCTCGGCCTGCAAAGCCGGCAGCGGCCCGGTTGTCTTTGTCACGTGACATCAGTCCCGTGGGCTGGCCTGCCTCCCTCTGTCATACCGAAGGATCCCAGACAGAGCACGCGGGATCATCTCCCCGCCTGAAGCCTGGTGACCCTAACGCCATCGGCAGCCGTGGACCGTAACCAAGTTCACAGGGTCGGGGGATTAGGACGTGGACACGGTTAGGGGGCCTCTACTCTGTCCTCCACGGGGAGGGGGAGGCAATTAACAGCTGCATGTCTCTCTAGCACAGCGACAGCCAGAGCTGGACCCAGCCTGCGAGGAAAAGTGGACTCCGTCCACCGATGGCCGAAGACCAGCTGGGAATGACGACGCTGTCAGCAGATGACCTTGGCAAGGACACACCTTGGCGCCAGGTAAGGCAACTCGGACGCAGACTCGGGCAAAGGGGTGTGGAGTCTCCGAACCGATTTGGGATTTCGCTGAGATTAAAACAAGCCCCGGAGGGAGATTCGCCGGGGGCGATAAAAATCACATTTCGAATCACGGGGCACACCCACGGTGGCTTCAAAGCCATCTTCGCTGCCTATAGTTCTTGAAGATAATCTCTAACTTTGAAACGTGATCGTCTTCCATCTTATTTCGGTTTGTTTGTTTTGCTTCATTCTCGTGTTTTTCTGGGATGTGCTGAGTCCTGCGCTGGCCGCGGCCGGGGATGATGTAACCCACTCTCCGTTGCGCAACCGGGACGGAGGGGCGCGAATGAGGACCCGGTGCCCACGCTGAGCGCTCTGCCCTTGCCAACGACCTCCCCGCGGTGGGGGGCCACCACGGAAACCCGGTGTCTCCTGTCCCACAGCAGGTCTCTGTCCCGGCTCCCTGCCGTCACCCCGAGGCTGACTCTAGAGTGTAAAAATAGGCATGGCTCACGCAGTAAGTTCTGGAAATCCGCAGCTGAGCTGCGTAAACCGCGACCCGACCCCACAGGAGAGGAAATCCCCAATGTGTTCACCTTGCTTGGCCTGTCGCTCTCCGGGCAGTAACTTATTAAGGTGTTTTCCTTGGGACTTTCAGCCTGATCTTGGAACCTGAGCCCCGGGGGGTGCAGCCAACCCCCCTCCCCGCTGGCAAGAGGCTTCCAGAAGCCCAGGATTCCGGGTCATCTGCAGCTCGGCGCTGCCCTCGTCTGGTCACCCACAGGTCTGCGGGAGGCCCCGGTGCTCCGGGGGTGGGGCCTTTGTCCTGCCTGGCAGAGGAGCCCCGCCCTCCTCAGCGGCTGACGCCGGGACAGCCAGTTACGGCTGCATCTGTGGCTGTTATTTCTGCCCAGTCTTTGGGGCCTTGGTAGATGTTTACCCACATTTAGTAAGAAAAGGAAATATCTTTCCCTGGATGTTTCCCCCCGGGGTGGGGCTGGCTGACTCAAGCACAGCCCACGGCCCCTCCGCTGTGTTCTTTAGTCTCTCTTTTTTTTTTTTTGAGACAGAGTCTCACTGTGTTGCCCAGGCTAGAGTGCCATGTCGTCAGCCTCGCTCACAGCAACCTCCAACTCCGGGGCTCAAGCGAGCCTCCTGCCTCGGCCTCCCGAGTAGCTGGGACTACAGGCATGCGCCACCATGCCCGGCTAATTTTTTTCTATATATTTTTAGTTGTCCAATTAATTTCTTTCTATTTTTAGTAGAGACGGGGTCTCGCTATGTTGCCCAGTCTGGTCTCGAACTCCTGAGCTCAAACGATCCGCCCGCCTCGGCCTCCCAGAGAGCTAGGATTACAGGCGTGAGCCACCGCGCCCGGCCCGAAAAAATCTTCTAGATGACCCAAAGCTTGTGTGGCAGAGAGGGCGGCCGTGTGCTCTTTGTGCAGACTGGAGTCAGAGGAGTCACGCTAACTCTGTTCACAATGGCAGATGTTTTGTAGGTGCCTATTCTATGCCAGGCAAATCCGGGGTCAGGCTGGGGCAGGGTCCGGGCTTAGTGGGGACCCAGGGGCCAGGAGCGAGGGAGGGTCCTACTCCCCCAAATGCTGAGCCACGGGGTCACCCCAGGTGCAGGCCGTGAGGCTGATTGCGGAGGGCAAAGCTCCCAGAATCCCCCAGCCCGAGGAAGGCGCCACCTACGAGGGGATTCAGAAGAAGGAGACGGCCGTGGTGAGTGTCCCGTCCACCCGAGGTCTGGGCTGGGGGTGCAGGGGTGGCCGGGGTTCAGCCTGAGAGGTGCAGCTGAGCAGAAGCCGTGCGTGGGGCCCCAGGGGAGGGGTCTGAGCAGGGTCGGAGAGCACCTAGGACGGGGAGGACGCACCAGCTCACGGATGCAGACCAGCGTCCAAGAGGCTGCGGGGATCCCCGACTCCTTCAGCAGGGCTGGGTGCACCGTCTGGGGGACCTCAGGGGCGCAGGCAGAGACCACCTGAGCACGCACGTCCCGCCGCCCGCAGGTGAACTGGGACCAGCCCGCAGAGGCCATTCACAACTGGATCCGCGGGAACGACAAGGTGCCGGGAGCCTGGACAGAGGCCTGTGGACAGGTGCGTCCGCGCGGCTGGAGTTGGGCCGCCATGTCTGTGTGCCCCACTGGCTTTGAAACGGTCACACCTGCTCCTGACACTTGTCAGTAAATAGCTGCTGCCCTGACCCTCAACCCGACCCAGCTGCCCCCCAAACACCTGAGCCTCTCCCCCGGGCCCGAGAGATCTCTCCGGTGGCGAAAGGGTGGCCGTCCCTGCAGCAGTTCTCGGGGACAGGTGGATTATGGGTTATGAAATATTTTGAGCCTCACCCCTGCGCTCACAGAGAGCCCTGGCCCGGCTCTGACTCCGCAGTGGCCCCAGGCAGGGAGGGGACAGCATACTCAGGCCAGGGGTGGCCGCGTGTGGGCCAGCTGCCGAAGACGGGGACCCCTGGGGCTCCCAGGGTAGAAAGAGGCATGGGGGGGGGGCGGGGAGGGGGTGGCAGGGCCGTGCATAGCCATCGTCATCCGAACGAACAACCGTCCCCCGGCCGGCTGTTCAGACCGTGTCCGGAAGTCAAATGCATCTCGCGATCAAAGCGACCCGTGCTTGGTGGCATCCCCAGGACAGGTGGCTACCGGCCAAAGCGAAGTATCTTGGGGCCACTCGGGGCTCGAGGCCACCCAGCCTCGTGTCTGTGCCCCGGCCCTCTCCTGCCACTCCCAGCCTCGCTCAGCCCTGCCGGGCTGCCGGCCAAAGGGGCCTCCTCTCCTCCTCCATCGTCTGCTCTTCCTCCCTCCGCAGAAGCTGACGTTTTTCAACTCGACCCTGAACACGTCGGGCGTGGTCCCCGAGGGAGAGGCTCTGCCCATCCCGGGGGCCCACCGGCCGGGGGTGGTCACCAAAGCAGGGCTCATCCTCTTCGGGAATGACGACAGAATGGTAAGCGTGATGCTGAGGGTCGAGGCCACCCACACCCCCGGCCTTGGGCTCAGGCCCCGCAGCAAGACCCCAGGATGCTCCGAAGAAAATGGAAGAAATGTGGTGCGGGACGGAAACCCCACGTGGGCCCCCAATTGCTGGGTCGGCCCTGAGTCCTCCCCCCCGCCGACCAGGCCCCCCTCTCCAAGCTGGGCAGCCCAGAAGCAGCGAGAAGCCCTCTCGGGGGGCCTGGCCTCGGGGCCTCGTTTTTTCTGTCCGAACGTCTGAGCACTACGGGGTGTGGTCGTTACCTCTGTGCCTCGGTTTCCTTCTCTTTAGACGGGAACGCCGTAGGCACTTGGGACGTGTAGAGTCCTTGGGGACACGCTGGGCAGGTGACACCCTCCTATTAGTGCCAGCAACCTTGCGAATCAGAATGACAGCTAATATCCACGGACCGCTTTTCACGTGCCGGGCAGCGGTTTGAAACAATTTATACACGTTAGATTTAATCTTCCCAGCGGCCCTTGATATAAAT